CACTGCACACACACTGCACACACAGCACACACACACAGCACGCACACAGCACACACACACAGCACACACACTGCACACACAGCACACACAGCACACACACAGCACACGCACAGCACACACAGCACACACACAGCACACACAGCACGCACACAGCACGCACACACACAGCACACACAGCACACACACACAGCACACACACAGCACGCACACACAGCACGCACACAGCACGCACACACACAGCACACGCACACAGCACGCACACAGCACGCACACACACAGCACACACAGCACACACACAGCACGCACACACACAGCACGCACACACACAGCACGCACACACACAGCACGCACACACACAGCACGCACACACACAGCACGCACACACACAGCACGCACACACACAGCACACACAGCACGCACACAGCACACACACCACGCACACAGCACACACACACAGCACACATACACACAGCGCACACACACAGCACGCACACACGTGCGCTATGTGTGTGCTGTGTGTGTGTGCTGTGTGTGTGTGCTGCGTGTGCGCTGTGTGTGTGGGGGTTGTTACTGTCTCTCGCTGCCTCGGATCGCGTTCCGTCTCCGCCGCTGCTTATTCAGTCCTTCGGTGTCGATGTGGATGATGTCGATGTGGATGATGATGTAGATGATGATGTAGATGATCATGAAGATGTGTGTGTAGATGTGGATGATGTTAAACCAATTGGAGTACTACGAAACGTCGAACTCGAATTGTAAATGTTGTAGTGGGTTTACTCTCCAACCCACACCCGGTGTGTACTGTATCAGTACACTACACTATACACTACACTATACACTACACTATAATTGTAAATGTTGTAGTGGGTTTACTCTCCAACACACCCGGTGTGCTGTACCAGTACACTACACTATACACTACACTATACACTACACTATAATTGTAAATGTTGTAGTGGGTTTACTCTCCAACCCACACCCGGTGTGTACTGTATCAGTACACTACACTATACACTACACTATAATTGTAAATGTAGTAGTGGGTTTACTCTCCAACACACTTGGTGTGTGCTGTATCAGTACACTACACTATACACTACACTATACACTACACTATAATTGTAAATGTTGTAGTGGGTTTACTCTCCAACACACCCGGTGTGCTGTACCAGTACACTAAACTATACACTACACTATACACTACACTATACACTACACTATAATTGTAAATGTAGTAGTGGGTTTACTCTCCAACACACCCGGTGTGTGCTGTACCAGTACACTACACTATACACTACACTATACACTTAACTACACACTACACTACACACTACACTATACACTACACTATACACTACACTATAATTGTAAATGTAGTAGTGGGTTTACTCTCCAACACACTCGGTGTGTGCTATACCAGTACACTACACTATACACTACACTATACACTACACTATACACTACACTACACACTACACTATTATTGTAAATGTAGTAGTGGGTTTACTCTCCAACACACCCGGTGTGTGCTGTACCAGTACACTACACTATACACTACACTATACACTACACTATACACTACACTATAATTGTAAATGTAGTAGTGGGTTTACTCTCCAACACACCCGGTGTGTGCTGTACCAGTACACTAAACTATACACTACACTATACACTACACTATACACTACACTATACACTCTTCTTGTTCGCGATTTCTGCACTGGACAATTGCTGTCGTCTCGCTCTCGGCACACGCCACTCCTGTCTCCATGGCACTGTATGCTTGCCAGTGTAACCAGCACGGGCGCTGTGCCATATCTGTGTGCCACGAAGAAGGGTCCTTTCCCGAAACGTCGTGTGCGTGGCTCACACAGTGGTGGTGGTGTTCTTTTTGGGTTAATAATCATTGCGCTCATGCGCACCGCCGTCAACTTGGCAACAGAAGCAGACAGTTGCCTACTGGGTCTGTGCCCTGGTTTGCAGCTAACTGACGGCCCTCCTATGGTGTGGGTAACAATGCACACCGATTAGTACAACAACAACTACTACTGTGTGTGTGGGGCCCTTTAAAGAGGAAGTATAATCGGCGACGTTTTGGGCAATTCCCCCCCCCCCCCTTCACAGCACATAAGAGAGAGAGAGAGGGGCGGGGAAGATGGATAATGAGAGGTGGAGACTGCAACTTGTTCTACAAACACGGGACCTGAGGAGAATGCCTTCAATCAACAAAGCGTCCCATTGCACTCCTTTAATTTTTTGTGTTAATTTGGCATCTTCCAACATTGCTCGGCGTATCGAAGAATCGCAATCACAAAACTGATTGATACCGGAGGAATCCGATGAGCTGTAAAGCTCTTTGTCCACAGATATCCAGTAGGAGTAGACTAATAAAACCCTCCCGTATAGAGTTCGCTGACGGTGAGAGGCCCTGCAAATTGCCAAAGCAGGCAATTTGCAGGGCTGCTGGACCTTCATCTTTTTTGTATGTTGTAAAATCGACCTTCTGCCAATAACTACCCCAGGTTCCACACCAATGCTGCTGCTACTACTACACCTTACGTGAATTCTTCGCAAGTCCTGGCAGGTGTTGCTAACTTACTTCTCAGACTCCCTGGGGGCACCCTCACCCCAGCCGCACACACACAGACACCTCTCTCAGTGTTCCCTGCGTGCGTGCATTCTGATTTTAATTTTGGCAGGACGTTCATGCGGTTGTTGCCGTCGCTTTATCGACCCCCCCCCCCCGTGAGTGTGATGAGCCCAGGGGAAGCGAGACATTCCCGCCTTGGGCGTGAGAACGAGAGAGCGCAGTGTTTTTATTCGTCTGGGGGACCTTTGAACACCAGCAGCTTGTCATAGCGATAGTGTGAGTCGCCTCCCCCCCGCCCGCCACCTCCACCGTCTGTGTGTGTGTGTGGGCGAGGGGCTGGTGAACGACACAAACCGGTAACTGCATTTTCAATGGTCCACTACCGGGTAGCCAAGAGGTAATTGTTTTCAGTGTTCATTTGTTGATGTTGTTGTTGGAAGCAGGTGGGGAGTTCTCGCACACTTTACCAACACCGCGCATGCCACTCACCCAGCGACTGTTGGACGTCTGTGAAAAAGAGCTTTACGGATAATCGGATTCCTCCAGGGGTAAATAACCATTCAGAAACTGAACCCCGTTTTAATTTGACGCAAGTAAGGCCCCACTGAGCTATGTAGTGGCTCTGTTTTCAGACCATGCCAAAAATGACAGCTCAACGACGTGGCTCATCGTGTGGAAATGTCTCGCGGCCAAATTATCTGAATGTGTGATATTGATTCTAAACGTGGAGGGGAAAAAAAACGGGAGGAAACCTGAGAAAAATCCACGTCCCACAAGGAGAATGAGAGAGAGAGAGACACCGCAAACTCCAAATTGTACAGCAGTCGTCAGGGTCGGGATCGAACCCACGACCTCCTGTAGACCAGGCGAGGTAGTTAACATCTCCTAGCCACCGTGATGATGATGATGATGAGAGAGAGACACGCAAACTCCAAATTGTGCAGCAGTCAGGGTCGGGATCGAACCCACGACCTCCTGTAGACCAGGCGAGGTAGTTAACAGGTGGTGGTGGTGGGAGATTTAACAAACGACGTTCCTCCTTTGGTTCAGCTGCCACACCAGGAAATGGAATCGAACCTGCGACCACCCCTCTCTAGATGACGAGCCCTGTGTGTGCGCTGGCTAACCTTTACGCCGCTGCAGTTAAAAACGCTAGGAATGTGATATTTGCGGGTTTTTTTTATTTTAATCTGCGTGTTCAAAACCCGGTAACTGCCTTATTTACCGGGTTTTTTGTTACAATGCGGTCACAAGCGATGCCACAGCAACAACAAAAACACCCCCCCGCCGGTTTCAACAAACCGAGTGTGGATCGATAGAGGGCCGTCTTGTTAGCCCGCTGCTGGATGAAGGCAGCCTCAAGACTTTTACGTCATGGGGTGGGGGTGGGGGGAGGAGGGGGGCGGGGCAGGCGGGTGGGCGGGAGAGGTGGACCATACTTCACCACTCTGGTCAGTGCTGCTAGACGAAGGAATGGGCTGACGCGTCGCTGGCCCCTGCTGTTAGCCCGTCACAGGGTTGGAACACTTTGGTGTTGCCAGGCAAAATAGAACCCCACCCAGCACCTCGAGTGGGGAGGGGGGGGGCCCTTTGTCATTCACAGAGACGATAAGAACCCGCTCTGTCGGCCGTGGTGGTGGTTGCTGGTGGTGCTGGTGGTGGTTGCTGGTGGTGGTTGTGGTGGTGGTGCTGGTTGCTGCTGGTGCTGGTGGTGGTTGGTGTCGTCTCCCACCCTCGCGTTGGTTGCTTCCCCCCCCCTACCGGCCTTGTCAACCTCTCTGCCCGCCCCCCCCTATCCCTATAGCAGCCTCTACTGTACTGCAATATAATGCTGAACAAATAACAGTGTAACAAAAAACACATTTTTTGTTCCTGGGCAGTAAGTGTTATTTTCCAATTGCTTATGCCTCAAAAGTACAGAAAATGGCTCTTGTTCCCCAAAGACTTTGCTTTGTGAGCAGAACAGTGATATTTTGAAATGTACCTATATTCATATTCTTAGTTTTTTCGGTAAAGTCACGTTGAAGGGAAACAACAAAATAATAAAATATATATGAAACAATAAAAAAATTCTCACGACGTTTCGACCATAACTCAAACGGTCGTCTTCAGGTGTGTTGGTTTGCATAAATTTATTTTTAAACGGCGCATTTATTTATTTATAAAAATACCTATATTCAATTAGGAAACGTCTGCATTTGTGTCTTTCATTCACGTACTACTATATATTTCCACATGACAAGCCACATTGTTGAGCTATCATTTATGATAGCCAGGTCGCTTTTGAAAAAGAGTTCTATAGCAGCTCAATTGGCCTTACCTGGTAAAATAAAAATGTTTTTTTTTTTTATAATTACAACTAATGTTACTTCCACCCATCTCGTCGGATGTCCGCACGTGTCACCCACAGCAGCGCCACGCTTGACGGTGTTTGGGGGGGGGGGGTGTGCCATGGCACGACCATCCCAGCAGTCGTCGGTGTTCGACGATGGACGGGACCGCGACCGCCTGCCGCCGCACTACAAGGAGTCGTACCGCCTGGCCATCGACGTGCTGGTGGAGCAGGGACGCGACGCCTTCCGCAAATTCCTGCAGCGCGAAGGCACCGTGCCCTTCCTGTCCGAGCAGGAGGTGGGTTGAGAGCTCCCGGGTGGCCGTCGGTGTTTGCGAAGGGTCGGGTTGAGTCGGTTAGGGCGCCACGGTGGCGAGATGTCAACCATCTTGCCTGGTATACAGGAGGTCAGGGGTTCAATCCCGACCTCTGTATATTTGGAGTGTGCGTGTTCTCTCTCTCCCCGTGCTCGTGTGGACTTTTCTCCGGGTCCTCCAGTTTTTCCCTACACATTTAGAAACGGCGTGTTTAGAGTATTTGGCTCCTATATATTTCCACATGACAAGCCACATTGTTGCGCTATCATTTGTGGCCACGTCGCTTCTGAGAAAAAGAGCAATATAACAGCTCAGTCGGCCTTACCTGGTGAAATAAAAACAAAAAAATGGTCAAGTCGGTCGGTCAGTCGGTCTGCATTGTCAACTCCTTCAGAGGCACTCGTGACACTTTTGCACTGGCACAACATTCGTGCCGAGCCAGGGCAAGGGACCTCACGGCACCGGTGGTTTTTCCACTGGCTATATTTGCTGCGCAGAGCCGGAATGAAACCGCGACACGGTGGCCTCCACGAGACATCTGAATCTGATTCGTGATCGGTCGACTTTGGTCAAATCGCATAAGTATCTGTACGGGGATGAAGAAGCGTTGCCCCCCCCGCATGCGTGGGTTCTTCTCCGGGTGCTCCGGTGTCATTCGTGGTTGAGTTATCTTAACTTTGGGAGCTCGCCATTGGGCACCAACTGGCCCCGTGTACTCCGACACGTGGGCCGTTCCTGGTAAAAAAAAAGATAGTTTAGTAATCGTTTGGTTGAAGTTATCTGACCAAAAATAGCAATAAATCATATTGGCCGCAAAATCCTGCGAGTTAAATTTACATTTGAGTCGGCATCGGTGCCACAACCAAAAAACACCGCAGAGAATGTGTCTATCTCGGAAAGTGGCTGAGAGCGAATCGCGGTCATAATTACGGTGATGGTGATGACTCAGAGGCAAAGTGAGAACAGCCGGGGGGGAGGGGGAGAGCTTTTGACAGTTTAATTTCAAAATGAAAAGCAACAACAATGCGCCTGGAGTGGACCGCCGCGGTCAATCGGAAGTGTATCGCCCTGCTAAGACGCGCGGCTTGAAACGTCGTGGACACCAGCAAAGGAAATGAAGAGGGGGGGGAGCCGTAAAAAAATCTTTAAAAGTTCACGGACAAACATAGAGCGATGTGCCTCGGGGATTATCGTCTCTCACCGCTCGATGGAACGGCAGCCAAAAAGAGGGGGAACCACGCCCAGGAGGGACGACCGCCACGGAGATTAAGGGTTGGGATCAGCCCTTAATCTGCAAGAGCGGGATGGATGGTGGCATCGCAAGAACCACGAGGGATGGAGACGATGTGGGGAGGCGTTGATCCAACCGTTTATAGAACACGGCCGATAATTGTGATGATGATGTTGATGGGGGGAGATTCTCGGGCGATGGTCCTCTCAGATTTTGGATGCCGACCAGGCTCAATAAAACAGAACGCAAAGTTTCGATTTAACGCCGCTCACCCTGCAGGTGGATCACATTGAGAGGACGTTCCAGTCGCCCGCTGTCACGACCCGGGGAGACGATGGCGACGAGGTGGGCCAGGACTTTGGGAGCTCGTCGTCGGGCACGTACTGGCCCGTGTACTCGGACACGTCGGCGCCGGACCTCGAGCTGGGCTGGCCGGCTCCCGGACGCTTCCTCGGACAGACGAACGTCACGCTGCACTTCCACCCGCCGCTGGGGAACGGGGTGCCGACCATCAAGGAGGTCATACGCAGGCACATCAGAGGGGCCTCTAAGGTATGATGCGTAATGGACTGATCCACCGCTCCCGCCAGGACGCGGCCACGAGCAACAACGCCACACGACCCCCAGCAACAACGCCACACGACCCCCAGCAACAACGCCACACGACCACCAGCAACAACGCCACACGACCCCCAGCAACAACGCCACACGACCACCAGCAACAACGCCACACGAACCCCGGCAACAACGCCACACGACCCCCAGCAACAACGCCACACGACCACCAGCAACAACGCCACACGACCCCCAGCAACAACGCCACACGACCCTCGGCAACAACGCCACACGACCCCCGGCAACAACGCCACACGACCCCCAGCAACAACGCCACACGACCCCCAGCAACAACGCCACACGACCCTCGGCAACAACGCCACACGAACCCCGGCAACAACGCCACACGACCCCCAGCAACAACGCCACACGACCCCCAGCAACAACGCCACACGACCCCCAGCAACAACGCCACACGACCCTCGGCAACAACGCCACACGACCCCCAGCAACAACGCCACACGACCCCCAGCAACAACGCCACACGACCCCCAGCAACAACGCCACACGACCCCCAGCAACAACGCCACACGACCCTCGGCAACAACGCCACACGACCCCCAGCAACAACGCCACACGACCCCCAGCAACAACGCCACACGACCCCCAGCAACAACGCCACACGACCACCAGCAACAACGCCACACGACCCTCGGCAACAACGCCACACGACCCCCAGCAACAACGCCACACGACCCCCAGCAACAACGCCACACGACCCCCAGCAACAACGCCACACGACCACCAGCAACAACGCCACACGACCCTCGGCAACAACGCCACACGACCACCAGCAACAACGCCACACGACCCCCGGCAACAACGCCACACGACCCTCGGCAACAACGCCACACGACCACCAGCAACAACGCCACACGATCCCCGGCAACAACGCCACACGAACCCCGGCAACAACGCCACACGACCCCCAGCAACAACGCCACACGACCCTCGGCAACAACGCCACACGACCCCCAGCAACAACGCCACACGACCACCAGCAACAACGCCACACGACCCCCAGCAACAACGCCACACGACCCCCAGCAACAACGCCACACGACCCCCAGCAACAATGTCACACGACCACCAGTAACAACGCCACACGACCCCCAGCAACAACGCCACACGAACCCCGGCAACAACGCCACACGACCCCCAGCAACAACGCCACACGACCACCAGCAACAACGCCACACGACCCTCGGCAACAACGCCACACGACCACCAGCAACGTAACTACATTCATGCTGTAGCCATAACGTAACAAATGAGTCGTGTCGTTTTATAGCCTTAGGGACCCCCCCCCCGCCCGGTGATGGCTGTCCCAGTGCAGCACGAGGTGAATATAGTAGCGAGCGGCATGGGGGGCGACGTTGCTCTTGGCTTCCGAGTAATCTTAAAAATGTGGGCCGTGACGTAGCCACCCGCTCGCGCCCTCCCCTTGCCAATGACGTCACGGGATTTCTGGAAGGGCGGCCGTGAAGCGGGCGGCACGTGGTCGGTGGGTCGACGCTCGCGCGGTAAAACAACGACACGGTTGCACCGTGCGCAAATAATAACACGCACCGGGTGTCGGGCGGGTAATTGGTCAGGGTGGATATGTGACCCCCACCCCACTAACGAGCCACATTCACCGCGCCCTGTAAGGGGGATTTTCACCTTCGGTAGGGCAGGATGTAGATAGAGGGTGGGGGCCCGGGTAGGGAGTCACCGACAATTTAAAAGGGGTCCAAGCAATCGACAGTGGAACAAGTAGAGGATTCTGATTTTGAGTCGGTTAATCAACATAAAGAGGGATCGTCGGTCTTTAAATATCTGGCACTTTTTTGGCAGGACATTCTTCCAGTCGACAGCCCCCCCCCCGCCCCCCACTTCCCCCCCCACTTCTCCTCCCCCCCCCCTCGCAGAGCCTTGCACTAAACCGAGTCGTGCGCCGTGACTTCCTCTCTCCTGTGGTGACGCGTGTGCAGCGTTTACGTTGCACGACATATTTATTTTTGGCAAGGCCACCATGTAATGATCTGGCCAAAAAAATATGTGCCGTTAATTCCCTCCACCACCCGACGCGGCATATACAAGTCGGGCGGTGGAGGGTCTTGCCCGCGCACATTTGGCCAGATCGTTACGTCGCCTAAACCCAACAAACGAAAAAACAAATCGTAATATTTGCCGCTCGTAAATAAGAGCTGCGTGTCGTGCGGTGCATTTACCTTCACACATTCCTTCGCACGAGTGTGCGAGATGGCCCGGCGCGTGACTTTTGGACGTGCCGCACCTTGGCAGTTCAAGGCCGTTCGGCGTGGAGCTGGGGTTGAGTTTCAGTTCCGTGCGTCCGAGGTCTCGCGTGGTCTGCAGCAGTCGGCACCCACGATTGGAATAATCAACAGTAGCGAGGCGTGGAGTGATAAACAGAGTGCACCATGATCGCGTCACCTGCGATTGCGGCGTCGCCCGTCTGTTGAGCGGAGACGCGAGCGTGGTTGCGGAGTTGCATCCGTCACCATCGTCATCGTGAGCCTCGGTGCAATCCGCCGCTGGATGAATGAAACGCCTCCCCAAGTCGCCGCCATTCCTTCACGGTCCCGCCATGCGACAGTCCGCACGGTTTTGTTGCGCACGAGCCGATCCTGTCGCTCCGTCTCCCGCGGTGGGCGTGCCCGCTCTGGCGCTTTGCCTCCTTTGGGTGGCCATCCCATCGTCGTTCTCACCCGGAGGCTGCCGCCCACCCATCGTCCCTTCTAGCGGCGTTTTATTAACAGTTCAAACTTGCGTCCCGAAACCTGGATACGCTCTCCGTAACCCGTGCGTTCCCCTTTTCTCCCTGAGTATACAGTGGTCCCTCGTTTATCGCGGGGGATACGTTCTAAAAATAACCCGCAATAGACGAAATCCGCGAAGTAATCAGCTTTATTTTTTACAATTATTATACATGTTTTAAGGCCGTAAAACCCCTAACCACACACTTTTATACACTTTTCTCAGACAGACATTAACATTTTCTCACATTTCTCTTATTTAAACACTCTCAAAGTTCAACCTTTCGCAGATTAAAAAAAATAAGTACAATATTAGTAAATGAAACCAAAGATCAAAACCTGTTTTCAAGCCCAAACATTTTTGTAAATCTGGCTAGCCGAACGCATTCTGTGTACTCCCTTAGCTAATCAGGACGCAGAACACATGTGCGGTTCTCCCTTAGCCAATCGGGACGCCGAACACAATGCGCGTTCATACTGTATGCAGGAAAAAAAAGCATGCAAAATTACACTAAAAAAAATCCGCGAAACAGCGAGGCCGCGAAAGGTGAACCGCGTTATAGTGAGGGACAACTATAGTTACTCGTAAGCGTGCATCTCTCGCCGCTTCCCTGCGCCGATGTTCGACCTTTGTTCCGTCGTTTTCTTCGGTGACCCCCCCGTTGCTCGTCCACGTGACGGTGGGAAACGCGCACAGATAAAAAATAAGCAGTAAAAATAAACAATAAAAATAAGCAATAAAAATAAACAATAAAAAATAAACAATAAAATTTACATTCTTGGTTCTTTCGGTAAAGTCATGTAGAAGGGAAACAATAAAATAATAAAAATTCTAACGACGTTTCGACTGCAACACAAGCAATCATCATCAGGTGTGAAAACCACAGCAAGAAAATTTGAATAAAGTGGTGAAAAAAGTGAGTTAGTACCACGGAGAGCGATTTGGCAGTTATTCAGATCCATCTATGTTTGGAAAAGAGGAGGGGGGAGACGAAAATAATGGATGCGGTCTGAAAGCCACCGTAAGCGTGAACAATCATGTAAGACCCGAAATGGTTTATAAGCTTTAAATCAAAATAAAATTAACAGTAAAAATAAACAATAAAAATAACAATAAAAATAAACAATAAAAAATAAACAATAAAAATAAACATTCAAATTAACAATAAAAATAAACAATAAAAAATAAACAATAAAAATTATCTATAAAAATAAAGCCGGTTGGCGTTGTAGTCACGGAAGATGATTTTCGTCCAGTTGTGGTCATCATCATTCCCGCACCTCCGATTAACAACGGTTGGCTACGTACGGTGCGAAAGAAGTTAATGATACGTACATTGCTGACTTTCGTAATGGACAACAAAAACAGTACGTTGACGAATTTCCTTCACAATTCTGGAATTTCGCTTGATGAAGGCGGTTGAAGTAATCACTAGCGAAACGTCACAGTACTCAAATTCTAAATGTCGTGGGTTTACTCCAACACACACCGGTGTGCCGAAGTCTAATTTCCACGTTTTGTTTACGTGACAAACCTCACTAATTGGCCGTGTCGGGTGGGTGAATGATTCATGAACGAGGGTGTGCTGGTATATAAACCAATTAGTGAAGAGTCCGCTTACTCCTAAACTCGACCCACACCCCCCACCCCCCCACACCCCACACCCCCACACCCCCCACCGCCACCCCCCCCACCCCCCACACCCCCACCCCCCACCCCCACCGGCTGCAGGTGGTCGCCGTGGTGATGGACGTCTTCACGGATGTGGACATCTTCCAGGAGCTGCTGGAGGCGGCCAACGTGCGCCGGGTGCCGGTCTACGTGCTGCACGACCGCCTCAACTTCCCCCTCTTCCACGACATGTGCCTCCACCACGGCCTGCGCGCCGGCGAGCTCGAGGTGCCAACGGCCGAGCGCCGCCAGCGGCCGCGTTTCCCCCACCCTCGGTTGGAGTTTGCACGCGGCGGCACCAAACGTCGTCGCCCTCCCCCTTCCCCCCCTCCCCCTTCCCCCCCTCCTCCCCACCCCCCCTCCAGAATCAGAATATTTATTTAAACTGGAAGAGGAATCCGATGAGCTGTTAAGCTCTTTTTCACAGATGTCCAGGTAGGGGCCACGGGGTAAGAACGTTTCGACAACGGACGATACAAAAAAAGCGGCATTAATACAGAGTGCAGGAAAGGCAAATATATTTGCCCAATGACATTCAAATAAAACTAAACCCTCACCGTCCTTCTCGCAGAAGAATGCCCGTTTATGGGCCACATGATGCCGATCCGCCTTGTGCTGTGCAGGGACAGCTGCCGCTTGTTTCATTCCATAGCTAAACAAACACACCAGTACCCACGCGGGGCAGTGGGTACTGGGCCAAGAACATCCCCACGCTTTAAAAATGAGCACCGTGCCAAGGTGCTCGATTTGGGATTGCGCACAGCGGCGGCAACATCGGGGCCCCCCCATTCTGCAAAATCTTTGGCAGGACCCCCCCCTGAAATGGAGCCCCCGTGAGGCTCGGCGAGACTGTCCTCGGGTGAATACGGCGTGACGATAACTCTACAAAAACAAACCACCGCACGTGGAAAAGACCGTGTGTCCCCCCCCGTCCTTTCACCATGCGTTTTCCCCGCTAAGGAGTCGCAATCCTGACCCTCGTTAAATCTCTCTAAAGTGTCCGCTACGTATCGAAGCAGCAGCTGAGCTAAACTAAACGTTGTATTTTACCAGGGTAAGACCCACTGAGCTATTTGTAGTAGCTCCCTTGTATGAAGCGACCTGGCTATCGCAAATGATAGCTCAACAAAGTGGCTTCCCATGTGGACATTTCTAGCAGGATTCTAAATGTGGAGGGAAAACCCGGAGGACTAGGAGAAAAATCCAGACGACCACGGGAAGAGAGCGGCATCAGGGTTGGGATCGAACCCTCGTCCTCGTGCACACACCAAGCGAGGGAGTTAACATCTCCTAGCCGCCGTGAAGATGATGAGAGAGACACGCAAACTCCAAATATACAGGAGGCGTCAGGGGTCGGGATTGAACCCACGACCTCCTGTATACCAGACGAGGGAGTTAACATCTCCTAGCCACCGCGGCGCCCCTCTTGACGATGTTGATGGGGTGTGTGCGCTGCTGCGTGTCGTCGCGCAGAACGTGCGAGTGCGGACCCTGCCGGGATCGCTCTACTTCTGCAAGTCTGGCGCCAAGTTTCACGGCCAGGTGTTCGAGAAGTTCATGCTCTTCGACTGCATCACGGCCCTGTGCGGTTCCTACAGGTGACGCGACGAGCGGTTGCGGGCAACGTCCGTGGCACCGCCGCAGACGCGTGACCATCGCACTCCTACAGGCAGCGCCGTAACGCTGCTTTATTGTTCATTTTTTTGCTCAAATTCGTAGCAATATAAATAATATCAATATTGCTACGGATTCTATAATTATGAATATTGCTCATATGAATATTATCAAACGGCATGTATGAAACACCTTTTTTCTAGGTACCCAACAAGGCACTATGCATCGCAACAATGCTTTACCTCGGGACAATGTTACACGTGACATGCTGATGAAAGCGACTGGCAGGGATAACCATCACAAACGCTTTCGCCACATGACCCTTGATGCACAGTCATAATAACATTTGGGGGGAAATTACAATTTAAGAAAGGCTGACCGTTTAACGAAAGTGCGGTGCGTGCATACCCCTTGTCCGCTGTGGTGCGTGCGTGCCTGTGCGTGCGAGCAGCCTGACGTGGTCGCACGAGAAGATCCACCGCAGCCTTGTGCACGAGTTCACCGGCGAAATGGTCGAGACGTTCGACGAGGAGTTCCGGGTTCTGTACGCGCAGTCGTCCTGCCCCTACGACGACTCCTCCGCGGTCGCCATCCCTGGCCAGGTGCCCCCGCCGACCAGGGGCCTCGAGGGCCTCCGGGGACTCCGCGGGGCGCCCCACCTGGGCCTCGCGCTGCAAATCGAAAAGCACGACTCGTCCGTCGACTCGTGGGTGTCGTCCACGTCGTCCCGGCGCGCCCTGGACCGGCAGACCCTGAACTTCACCCACCACGACTTCGCGCGACGCCCGATCGACAACACGTACGCCAGGGTGGAGGCCAAGCATCTCCACCGGGAGGATCGCTACACGTTCACGGCGAAGCAGGAGGTGCTGAGCGAGAAGGAGTACCGGGGCGTTGCCAACGTTTCGCAGAGGTTCGTCGCCAACGCCCAGGTGTTTGCGGGCGAGAAGGAGGTGTGGAAGCGGTACAGCTACGCGGGCGAGGCCACGGAGTCACACTCGTTCCTGCAGCGGATGCAGGACCCGTACTCGTTCGCCTCGGGCCGCGGCGCCCTGGAGCCGCGGCCGAGGAACATCGGCGGCGTCCTCCCCGGGCAGGAGTTCCGCCGTCTCCAGGCCGGCGCCGGGGCTTACGGAGACCGCTTCGGCGAGGGGCGAGGGGAAGACGTGTTCGGGGATGACGGGGCTGCGTTCCCAGATTTCTCCGGGAACGCGAAGCGGATAACGGCGGCGGCGGAGGAGGAGGAGGCGCGCGACATTTCCCAGCAGCAGCAGCTGGCGCCGTACAATCAGCGAAAGAGGAGCGAGTTCCCGGCGCAGCACCTCATGAACTCGCGGCGGGAGGCGTGGCAGGGACAGCCGGGCAAGGCGGACGGCGGCCGCAGCGGTGCGCAGCAGACGTTCGCCTGCCAGACCTCGCCGACCCAAACCCAAAGCTTCCAGGAGGAGGGGCCGTTCGCGAAGGCGGGCGCGGCGAGCAGGGCGAGGGAGGGAGACGCGGGTGTCGCCGAGAAGTCCGCCAAGCAGGGCCTCCGACGTTGGCGGATCAATTCGTTCCTGAGCTCCTGCGAGAATCCCGCCGAGGCCGAGGCGGGCGGGGCGGAGGACGACCCCAGGCCCGACGGCGAGGCGCGGAGCGGGGAGGGCCGCGGGTCGCCAGCCGCGGACGCGGCGGTCGCCGGCTTTGCGGACGGCCTGACGAGGCACGAATCGCTGCGCTCCAAGATCAGTCCCATGTTGCAGAGGAACTCCAGGCTGCGCTCGTCGCTCATCTTCAACTCCGCTCGGCAGGACGCGGGAGGTTCGGAGCCAATCGCGAAGCGGGGCCCCGGCAATTCCGGGGGGGGGGCGGCGGCGGCAGACGACAAGCCTCCCGCAGGCCCGCGGCGAGCCGACGAGTTGGCGGCCGAGGCGCCGGCTGGCGGTTCTTCCAACGCGGCCGAGTCGAAGGAGAAGGACGCGCAGGCGGCGGTCGCTCTGCCTGCTTCAGACCTCCAATCGAAGTACGCGCCCAGGGAGCCGTTCGTGAGGTCGAGGTTCCTGTTCAGCAGCCTCACGAACCGCAAGGCGGCGACCGCCACCGCGGAGGAGGAGGTCCGCGCGGCCTCGGACAAGGTGGGCCCCGTCGCCAGGCCGGACTCGCACATCAAGGAGCTCTTCCCGAAGCCGCAGCCCTTGGCCGAGGGTCACGCGGCACCCGCAGGGAGCGCCGTTTCCAAGGCAAACCCCTCTCCGGGAAGCGAACAGACGAAGTTCACCCAGATCCAGCAACGTAATGAAACGATTCCGGCTCGGTCAAAGTCGTCGTCGTCGTCGTCGGCGGCCGACACGGGGGCCCAGGTGACGAGGGGGGCGACGGACAGCGCTGCGCAAGAAGTGAAGCCGGACCCGGCGAGCGGCGCGGTGAGCCGAGCGTCCGCGGAGAGAGCGTCACGGCTCCAGGAGCTTCTCGACAAAGCCAACAACAAGAAGGAGAATCCCCCCGAGAAGACGTCTACTGTAAACGCGACCTTGGAGAGAGCTTCCCCTCGAGAGCCGTGCAGGCCGAGCGCTCCGCCGGCTGCCAGCCCCACCTCGGCAAAGGCGCCTCCGGCGCAGGAAGCGGCATCCGGCGGCGTCTCCCGAGCCCCGGCAACGATCGGCACGTCGGAGCTGAGCCCTTCCCCGGCCTGGCGCAGCAGCAGCACCTCCACGCCCGTCCTGTACGGCAGCAATCTGAAGGACGACACCAAGGTCATGTTGGAGCAAATCTCGCTGAGCAGCCACAAGTACAAGGACGACAATCACAAGGCCATGCAGGAGAATGCGCAGGGGGACGATTCGGCGAGGTTACCGCGGGATGCCGCGGGTGGCGGAGGATCGAGCGTTGCCAGCCCAAAGGAAGCCGCTCCGAGCCAGGCCTCGCCCACGACCACCGCTCTCGCAGCCGACGAGGACAGGTCGGACGAGCTCATCCGGAACCTGGAGAGCAAGCGCAAGGAGAACCGCGCTTACAGCCGCTTCGAGGTGTTCTACAAGTCAGAAGGAACGGAGGCCAAGCCAAAGGGCATCTCCCCCGTCGTCTCCCCCGTCGTCTCCCCCGTCAATGTCCCCGATCAGTCGCGATACGTGCCCGATAGGTACCGGGCGATGGAGCAGCCCTTGAGCAACAGCCTCCTGCAGAAAATCAAGGTTACGTTTAAAGGAAAAAATTAATAACACTCCCCGGCCTTGCCGTACAGAATTGTCGTCGTTGCTTGAAACTGCAGTTGTGAAATTATGGTTGTCGCTCTTCGTCGGCATGAGCCTACATGAAGAAGAATAATGTGGGGGTGGGGGGGGCTTCGTCGCAAGAGAGGCGCTTGACAAACGGCAGGTGGCGCTGAAGCGCAGCTCGTACGATGGCTTAGCCACGTGGCGATTTTTATTACGCCCAAAAGCGCAGCCGCTGTCTGCGCCGCCAAGGAGTCGAACGCCTCCCACGTACAGCGAGCAAGGGTCCTGGTAGTGAGCGGGGGCCACCTGAATCGTGGGTGGGGGTCGCCTGAATAGTGGGTGGGGGTCGCCTGAATAGTGGGTGGGGGCCGCCTGAATAGTGGGTGGGGGCCGCCTGAATAGTGGGTGGGGGTTGCGAAGGAAGTCGGTGGGGCCAATCGCCGTGGCCAGAGCGAGCGGAGTTGTGGGCGTGGCTTTGTAGAAGTGGGCAGGGCTCACCACCATGTATCCCGGTTAAGCCTCCCAGAAAAGTGTGTTCCTTCCCAGCTTTAAAGCCGATAGATGGGTTACTTGAGTAATAATAATAATAAAAACATTTCGGTGCTGTTGTACAGTACAATATATACATGTATACTCACAAGTATTGTTTATTCTCTGTGTGTGTATATATATTGAACTTGCACTTGGGATTTGATCATACTGAGAAATCCGTGAAATCCCTGGGTAACAGGGTGGCACCGTGGTTAACACCTGTGCCTCGCAGCAAGAAGGGCCTGAGCTCGAGTCTCCACTCCGGGAGGGAACCTTTCAGCGTGGAGCTTGTGGTTCACCTCGTGTTCTGCACGGGTTCCCTCTTGGCTCTCCACTTTCTATCTAAAAACATACAATGTAACCGGTATTGGCTAAAACACATCGCAGTGCAGAGAAGTTACCTGCAGGTTACTCAGTTGGGATTGCACGCAGCAGCAGCAGCAGCAACGTTGCCTCCTCCTGCGAAAAATCTGGCAGGACTCTCCTGAAAGATTCTTGGGACTCAGTGAAGCATTCCTGGCTGAATACACGGAATAATCATAAAAAGATTACATGTCAAAATGGGCCATACGGTGGCTAGATGTTAACTACCTCGCCTGGTATCGAAGGAGGTCGTGGGTTCGATCCACAACCTGACGCCTGTTTATTTGGAGGCTGCAGTACATTGAAAAAGAGCTACAAAGCTCAGTTGGCCTTCCATGGTAACATTTTTTAAAAAATATTAAAAATTTATAACATGGCCATGTGCCACGGGGCTGCCGCTGCCTGAGCACGAGTTTCGAGTTTTTAACCAGGTGAGGATTCATCGAGGGGCAAGGATGAGTTATTTTGCGACGGTGACCTGGGTACAGGTACGTGCACTGTCGGCCTTGACATGCCAACAGGGCCCGGAGTTCGTGGTGACTGTGTGTGCGCATATGCACACGGATCTTGTAATTCTAGTTTAGAGGTTGGGTTTTTTCTATGTTGTGTGTGTAGCGTTTTATACAACCCATTAAGAGCTGTGAGGCATTGCCATTGTGCCTCTTGTCAACAAGTGGAACCTCAATTCCTCGTGGTCACGGGCAGCTAGCGGCGTAGCTATTGAGTGGGGCGCCTCAGTGGTGAGATGTTAACTGCCTCGCCTGGTGTACAGGAGGTCGTGGGTTCGATCACGACCCTGACGCGTGCTGTTGATTTCGAGTTGGCATGTTCTCCCCGTGGTCGCGTGGATTTTTTTCTCCGGGTCCTCCGGTTTTTCCCTCTCCACATTTAGAATCGACATCACGCGTTTAGATTATTTGGCTGCTGTGAATTTCTTCGAGATAAGCCACTTTAGTTGACCTTTCATTCAGTGGCCAAATCGTTCCTGAAAAAGAGCTACCATAGCTCGGTGTGCCTTAGCTGGTAAAGTAAAAAAAAAATAGTTTATCAAGTGCACAGGGGGCCCACGTGGGCCGAAGGGGCCCAGGTGCCTGGGCTACTGAAGTTGGGGTGGTGGAGGATTGGACGGAGGTGGCCCATTCCGTTCCTTGCTCCCAGTGGCCGTGCCTACCAACGCTACGATACTTCGCCGAGTTTGCCTTTGTGTCGTCGTGGCAATAAACTGCGTTTTGTGTTGAATGACCACAAGTGCTGTTTTGCGCGCACATAATGGAATGGACTCCGTGTGGCGCGGGGGTGGGGGGGGGGGGAAGCTTGCGACGTTGGCGTTGGAAGAGTCGGGCCAGCGTTGGGCGCAGCAGCGTTCCACGCCGTGTGTTGGAATTCACTCTGCACTTCCCCCAATGCAGAATCTGTCCGGTCGCATAAAGCACCACCGCCGTCAAGGGCTCCCCCCCTTGCTTTGTCACGTAAAGCATCGCAGGCCAAGGTCGAGACGCCGTCTCGGCCAATGTTGGTGATGTACACCACACCTTTCTGCCGCTGATTCCTGCCTTTTTGCTTTTCCAGTCCAATCTTTTGGATCTCTGCCCCCGGGTTGCCAACGTCTGGGCGTCGCTCCAACGCCCGTTTCTGTCGCCTGCCGCTACTCAACACTCGCGCGTCCCCACCCATCGCCATCCCCACGTGCCGATGACGTCTACGACACTTTCCCACCGCGTTCATTGTCAGAACTTCAAAACTCTTTGGTTCTTTCGGTAAAGTCACGTAGGTAGAAAAAATACATATTTTTTGTTTTATTTTATATTTTTCGACCTACGTGACTTTACCGAAAGAACCAAAGAGTATGGATTCCTGCAGTCACGAAAGCTTCAAATCAAGAACTTCCAAACTCCTTACCCTCCGTTTACCCGTGACATTCTGAGGTATCGCCTCGACCACGCGCCGTGTATTCGAAATATCAAGAGTTTTGTTTTTCAGCTGCTCTGCGTGAAAGCCAACTTCGGGCCCAAAGTCACTCGTGTCCGTCTCAACACCGAAGTTTGGATTGTTTTTTGTTTATTAAAAACGACACACATCACGGTAATGTTACTGCAACAAGAATCCTTGACAAGCAAAAGCATCTGCAAATGTACCAACCACAACGACAACGAATTCAAACGGCACCATGAGCGGCGGTTATGGTAAAATATAAAGTACATTGCTCGACCGGTTCGTTGAGATTGTTCGAGAGGCTGGTGCACGCGAGACAACGAAGTGGTGGGGAAAGTTGGAACGGTGAAGGAGAGGGGACTGAGTAATCACGGGGAGATATTCGGTGCTGCAATGCATTTGGCTAAATGCCAGCTCTGAGGTTTAACTATCCCGATTTGACCGATGAACATTTTAGTTTATTGACCTTCCCTCCGATTAGCACGGTTGGCTACGTACGGTGCAAAAGAAGTGCATGCATTACTTTGTCACAGGGCACGTGGGACACGTGCTGCCCCCTACAGTTTGAACCAGACGTAGCTCTGTGGTATCCGCTTCCGCGTGTTGCCGTTTCCCTTCATGCGGGGAGAGTCGCGCCGCTCTGCGAGCGATCCGCATGGAGGCTGTCTCGCGACGTACCGCGCTGAAAGCACGGTCGGTGCAGAGATGAGAAGAAGGTTGACACTAAATAATTATTCCCTTCCTCGTATCCAAACCGCTTCCAGTCCCACGACCCCTTCCTGGAAATGAGGAGCGAATCCGGTCTGCGTTTCCTGTGTTAGGCATGGAGCAGCGTGATTGTAATTCATGGGACCCTTTTTTCCACTATCAAAGTATGAAAAGTAAAAAGAGGCGTTACCCTTTCTGGCAATAAAACAGCGTGTTCATGGCGACATGATTCCTTGCAAAAGGCATCGAGTGTTCGAACATCTTAACACTTGTTTTATTGCCAGAAAGGGTAAAAGTATTCTTAGTGTTCATATTATTATTATGATTTCGGTACGCTGTGTATAAAGCAGTGCCGCTGTGATGAGTGCCCCGGTACCATCTCCCTGGGCAAACACCACCACCGCCACCACCGCCGCCGCCGCCCGGCTTAACGACGTTTCCCTCCCACGACTACACCCCTAGGGCCCACAGCCGAAGCGTTTCCCAAACCCAGCATGGCCCGCACCCCCTAAACTTAGTTGGGGGGGCGCCACGGTGACGAGATGTTAACTACCTCGCCTGGAATACAGGAGGTCGTGGGTTCGATCCCGACCCTCACGCCTGTATATTTGAAGTTTGCGTGTCTCTTTCCCCGTGGTCGCGTGGATTTTTTCTCTCCGGGTCCTCTGGTTTTCCCCTCCACATTTCGAACCATCGCGAGTTTAGAGTGTTTGGCTACTGCTATGAATCTCCACGTTGTGATAAGTCCCACTTCGTTGAGCCATCATTTGTGATAGCCCAAGGTCGCTTCTGAAAAAGAGCTACATAGCTCAGCGGGCCTTACCTGGTACCAAAATATGAGAATAGGGTTTCCCCTTTTTTCTGGCAACAAAACAGGTGTTAAGATGTGAAAACACCAAACTGAAAGCTTTTACAAGGAATCATGTGTGCATTAACCACAATACTTGCGGTCAGAATGCAAACAAAAAACATACTCTGATAATATATGTGGCAGTCTTTGAAACTGATTGGTCCACACCAGAGACAGCTTTCTTGCATTCTGACCACAAGCATTGTGATTAATGCAGACACGATTACTTGTAAAAGTTTGGTGTTTTAACATCTCAACACCTGTTTTGTTGCCAAAAAAAGTGGAAAACCTATTCTCTTATTAAACATTTTTGTTTAGCAAACAGTTTCAAGCCGCGCGCATCGCTGGGGACGCGCGCGCGCGCGAGAGGGGAACGCGCACATGGTGACACGTTGTGAGACGGGAGGTGAAAGGGAAGAGGAGACGGCGGTGTAGGCCAGACACAGCGCGGGCTGAGCGAGAGCTCCCAACTCTTTGCACCGTCGCGGATGCCGACCGCGCTGTGGATACGCCGCTGCACAGTGGGACTTGTTTATCAATCCTCTCGGAGGGGGTGAAGGACCGAGTTGACACCCCCCCCCTCGCCCCTCTTCCTGGACCTGCCGATTACGCTCGGAGCAATCGAGGAGGACAAAACGGCGCAGCGCGCGCTGGTGACTCCGTTGCTGTCGAGTGTGCAGGCGGTGCAACTGCACGGAGGGTCCGGCGGCTGGAGGGAGGCACGTAGTTTTCCAGGCTACGAAGGGAGGTCATATGGGAGGGGGGGGGGGAGAGATTGTACGGTGGAGGTACTGAGTTGTGGAGCAGGACCCAGTGCCAGCCACGCCACTGCGAGTCTGTCGGCTCGACTTGAGCTCCCGCTGGCAGCGGGGGCCAGGAGTCTCGCATAGACGGGAAATAAAGACACCACCCCCGTCAACCCTCCCTTCCTCCCCCCCAACGACTCGGCCCAGATGTTGACTCTGTGTGTTTGCCGTGCGGGGAAGATCGCTCTGCCGCGCGGCAATTAATGAGCCGCGCTCGAGTTGTGTCGCCAGCGCCTCGCCCTCTCCGCCACCGCCGCCGCCACCACCGCGATAAGGCGGTGCGCAAAAACGGGAGCCGGGAGAGGCTTCCGCGCCGGGCGGGGATAAAACCTCGACCCCCGGGGGAGCCCCGCGCTCAACGGATCCCGTGCGGCGCCACCCACAGAGGACAATGGCCCTCCCGGCTGCCCTGACCCTGCCGGCTGCCCTGGCGCTCCCGGCTGCCCTGACCCTGCCGGCTGCCCTGGCGCTCCCGGGTCGCTTGGCGCTCCTGCTCGCTGCCCTGCTCGTTGGTGAGCAGCACCCCCCCACCACCGCCACCACCACCGCCACCCAGGCCGATCAGCGCGCAGAGAGGTAACGGCCGGTCCCCCGCAGTACACGTGGCCAACGCTGGCGCGTGTGGCGAGCCCCGGGGTCAGCAACCTGCAGCTCCTGGAGCTACAGCGCGGATTTTCGAGGGCTGCTTGCAGAGCCGCAACGCCCGTCACTGCGGTTTTTGAAATGTCTTTTTTTGTTTGTTTACCGAATTCAAATAAAAATGGCTCTTCTCGTTATCGGTAAATGCCACCGCTGAGCAGATAAGCCTCTTTCGACCGAGGCTATGGCGTCAAATGCCACGTGCGCGGTGCCTCGACTCGCTGTGGCATCTACGTGTGTGCGTATGTGTGTGTTGAACCAGGGTTCATCGCAGCTGTGATGGTAATTTGTGAACGTGTCGCTAAATATTAGAATAGGTGTTGCCCTCTGGCAATAAGACCGTTTGTGTTAAGATGTTAAAATACCAAACAGAATAATTTTTCGAGGGACCCTGTCTGCATGAACCACGCACGGCCACGTGGTGAACATGCCACCGCAAGTCCCGTGCGTGGTTAATGCAGACAGGGTTCCTTGAAAAAGGATTCTGTTTGGTGTTTTAACATCTTAACACAACTGTTTTATTGCCACAAAGAGTAAAAGCTATCGTTGTATTTTGATACTGGCGAGAAAGTTCCCATAGTGTAACTGAATGTTTTCTCAAAAGTATTTTTTTTTAAATCGTAATCTATTCATTTGTGAACTGTAACGAGGGCGTGGTTGTATATATATCTCAATTAATGAGACGTGCACCTCCTCCTAAAACTCTGCCAGTACTGGCGACACATGCGTGCTTATGTGTGTACGTTGAACTTCTTTCGCACCGTACGTAGCCAACCGTACTTTCCAAATCCGCCCCTCTCCCAAACACCACACTCCTCTTCACCTGCACCGCTCGTCGAGACCACGTCGCCCAGGATGTTTGGACAGTGCTGTACCACTGGCTCCACGTCCCAGATCGTTTTCAAGATCTCACTCTCCTCCATCATCTAGATCTGCCATGGATTCACCCCTGCCTACTTATCCCATCTCCAACTACAAAGACCCCCCGGATAGCCTGAAACATACTTTTAGGACAAGTGCTGTTATCGACCACCTGTGAAGGCCGGCACGGTACATGTGTACGTTGAACTTCTTTTGCAATCGTACGTAGCCAACCGCGCTAATCGGAGGTACACGATGGAGTGGGCGGCCAGCACCACGCCCGACCGTCTTTGTCTCCCCAGTACTGATGTTTACACACCGCACCAGGTACTCATTTGAGGCTGAGTCGACCTAGGGAGGTGAGGTGGTCCGGGACCGCTCACAATTATAATCGTCACGTGTGTTCGGCATGAGCGGGATTTGAACTCGGGCCGCTGAGTCCGCGGCTCGCTAACTGCTGCCCCACCACTCCCTACACTCACTCTCACACTTATCCTGGGTTAACTGTGATCGCTAAACTGAAATGTGACCAAGTTAGTTTGTTGTCCTTCCCCCGCACCTCCGATATAGCACGGCTGGCTACGTACGGTGCGAAAGAAGTTCATCATACTAAGCGAGAGTGTTCTGGACGGGTTTCACCGTTCACTGGCTCATCAGCAGCCGAGATTGGCTAATTTTAACTGGCTGTCAGAGTCACCGCGTGGCGTCTCGCTGCTCTGACAGGAGAGACTTTATCCGGCAACTCGGACTGCCTCTCCCAGCGATTCGAGTGCGACTCCGACCTCAGCTGTGCTAGTGTGATCGCCATGCTGGAGTACAACTGTGACGCTGCAGGTGAGTGGTGGGTCAGAGGGGTGGGTGGGTGGGTGGGTGGTGGAGGCTGTGCGCCGTGCCGGCCTTCATAGGTGCTGCTCGCTAACAGCACTTGCCCCAACAGTCTGTTTAGGCTATAGGGGGGATATTTGTCTTTGGTGGGGGCCGGGAGCGGTAAATCATAATTAATAGCATTATAGAAACATAGAGTAACATTTAACACGTAGGCTTTCGCGACCAATATCATCCATAATAGATCGCGTAAATATATAAATGTTGTGTCGTTACAACCCGCCACCACCCGACACAGCCAACTAGTAAGGGCTGTCACGTAAACAGAACGTGGCCAATTCGTCATTAGTACAGCACACCGGTGTGTTGGAGAGCCAAGCCACAACATTTACAATCTGAGTACTCAGATTGTAGTTGGTGGTGGTGGGTTTTAACAACATTTAGATATTTACACGATCTAACCCAAATAAACTCTATTATGGATAGGGTACCATAATACGGGATCATTGTGAATAGGCGTAACTTGTAGTGAGTCCACCCATGTGAAAGGAGAAGTCACTATAACACTCGTAAGGATGATTGAAAATTATCGACGATTTAGCATGAGTCTGTGCAGCTAATATTATGAGACATCTCCTATAACTCGATAAATACCACCGCTGAGTCGATAACCCTTTTTCGGTTGAGGCTATGGCGTCAAATCCCACATGCGCGTTTCGCGTTATAACGGTTCCTTGTTCCGCGTTATAACGGTGCACGTTCCATGATACAGCCCCCACCCCTTCTACTGTGACCTCTGCCCGTAGCGAGCGACCGCGACCCCGCGGCCGACCCGGTCGCGTCGGCCCGCCGCTGCCGGGAACCCCACGACTGCCACGCCACTCGCGCCTTCGCTCAGCTGCGCTGGCCCCGCCTGGCCTCCTGCTCCTGCGGCGGAGGGGAGGAGGGGGACGGAGATCGGCACGGGGACCCCCGTGCGTGTCTCAGGCTCCGGGGCCTCTTCACGGAGGCGTGCGGGCCCGGACAGAGCGGTACGCTTTGGGCCCCAAGCGCCAGCGGGCGTCGCCGGAATCGCGATTGCAAGGTCGGTTGAGCCAGGGTGTGAGCCTCGGGTTGAAGACCCCTCCCTGTGCACCAGGGCCGGGCGCGGACCCGGGCCGCCCCCCTCGCCGCTGCGCGCCACCCCGGTGGCGCTGCCGGGACGAGGGCCCCTCCTGCCGCGCGGAGCTGGCGAAAGTGACGCGCGCCTGCGGCTCCCGCGCCGAGCGGCCGTGCCCGCGGTGCGAGGAGGCCGCGGCGGCACGGAGGGACGAGCGATGCCGGCGGGCGTGGGAGGCGGCGCGCAACGCCTCCTGCCTCCACCCCGCGCTCGGCGGCGGCGGCGGCGGTGCAGCCGAGGTGGCGTCCCCTCTCGCCGCCGCGCCTCTCGGCAAAGCCAAAGGTGCGAGATTCAGGGCAGAGGCGGTGGGATCTTGGGACTATTTGGGAGGAGCGGTTCCCGGCATGATATCGGTTGAACACGTAGTTGGCTTTCGCGACCAATATTATCCATATTACAGGTTTTTTGGGTTAGATCGCGTAAATATATAAATGTGTTGTTAAACCCGCCACCACCCGACACACACAAATCTGTCTGTTGCCTGATGAAGCTAGTTGCAATTACTGGCGAAACATCGTACTCAGATTGTAAATGTTTGTGGCTTGGCTCTCCAACACACCGGTGTGCTGTACTAGTAACGAATTGGCACGTTCTCTTTACGTGACAACCCTTACTAGTTGGCTGTGTCGGGTGGTGGTGGGTTTTAACGACACATTTATATATTTACGCGATCTAACCCAACAAAACCCTTCTATTATGCTATCATTACACACCAATTTTCAGGGTCTCGTGGTCCCCCCCCACTACCCACCCCCCACCCCGGCCTTGGATCTGCAGCTGGTTCAGGGTGGGCTCGGGATGCACGGGGATTGGACTCAGCCATGTGGCAGGGGTTGTGTCGCCACCCTTTGGAATTTGGTGGCTTCCGATTTAAATGAGCCACTCGTGCGAATGACGTCACGGGGTGCGCAACCTCCACTTGCGCGTGCAGCAGACGTAGCGTAGTACGGAGGAGCGGAGTGTTTTCACGGTTTAACGCAGCACCGCAGCATTAACCAGGGCGGCCCGCTAGTTTCCAGACGCGACGAGCGGCAAACGCGCGGCAGCTGGGCCAACTTCACCGGCCATTTCTCATCATGCACCAGTGGCGGGTGGGGGAAGAGGGGGCAAATTGTTAACTACCTCGCCTGGTATGCAGGAGGTCATTGGTTTGATCCCGACCCTGACGCCTGCTGTATATTTGGAGTTTGCATTTCTCTCTCCCCGTGGTCGCGTGGATTTTTATCTGGGTCTTCCGGTTTTCCTCTCCACATTTCTAATCATACGTTTAGACTAATTTGGCTGCTCTACATTTCCACACCATAAGCCGCTTCGTTGAGCTATCATTTGTGGCCCGGCTGCTTCTGTAAAATAGCCATAAAGCTCAGTGTGCATTACCTGGTTCAATAAAAATATATATACACAGTTTAGCTTAGTAGTTTAGTTTATACTGGTAGGAACATTCCTATGTCCGTCCACTTCACAAAGGGGGCCTTAAAGATGATCCAAATAACTACCGACCTATCTCAATTTTGTCCCCGTTGATGGAAATTTTTGAAAAATTATTGACCTACCAAATTAGCAGTTTCCTGTCCACCAACAATCTACTACATCTAAAACAATCTGAGTTCCGAAAAAAATACAGCACCACATCTGCTGCATTAGACTCTCTGAATCACATTTACAGTAGCCTTGATAAGAAGCAGTACTGTGCCTGTCTTTTTCTAGACCTGTCCAAAGCTTTTGATACAGTAGACCACAACACCCTGCTCAGTAAACTAAGTTGCCTCGGTTTTTCCGAAAACGCAGTAAAATAGTTACAAAATTACCTCTTTTCTCGCACCCAAACTGTATTCACAGATGGTTGGAGGTCAAACAGTGTTAAGATAACAAAAGGGGTTCCACAGGGTTCCATCCTCGGCCCCCTTTGTTCTCTCTTTATGTCAATGAGCACTGACCTGGATCATTCCAGGGTAAATATTTTTGCAGATGACACGATACTGATTACTGCTGGCCGCTCTCCGGATGACGTGATTGCTAAGCTGCAGGGTGATTCAACAAACTACAACATCAGCTAGTTGCTCTAAAACTAGTCCTGAATACCTCCAAAACCAAGCTGCTATGCTTCTCACCAGGACTAAAGCAGGAAGTTTTTTTTCCCCAATTACATTCCTTAAATAATTATCAAATAGAGCAAGTCAAGATCTATAAGTATCTTGGGGTCATCCTGGATTCAAAACTGAATTTTGAAGATCACATTGATTATATTGGTAAAAAGACAAAAATAAAAATTGGTTTTCTGTATCGACACAAGCACTGCTTCCCCCAATGTTCCGTTTGGAATTGATGAGAGCTACCATACTGCCTCTACTTGACTACTGTGAGATCGTGTATAAATCAGCCCCAAGTACTGTACTGAAGAAGCTTGATTCCATCTATCACTCGGCCTTAAGATTTACATTGAACTGCCCATATAGGACTCACCACTGTGATCTCTACATTGGGTCAAACTTAACAACTCTTAATGTTCGACGGCTTGTACACCAGATCTTATTTATTCACGATGTACTTACAAAAAAATCCGCAGACTACCTGCTGGATCTTCTCTCTGTTTCAAAGAACAAATTTGACCTCAGGTATTCGCTCATTTACCAGCTTCACATTCCCTATTGCCGTACAAAAACTGGAGGAAGAGCCTTTGCAATTGATGCCCCCAGGGTCTGGAATGCTATTGCCAATAAACTGCAACTTGAATCGCTACCATTGAGATCTTCTCTCAAAACTGCTCTAGAGGAGTTCTACACCCCTAGCTGCCACTGATATTCATTGGCGTAAAATAAAATAAAATGTTTCGCTCCGGATGACGCTGCAAAGTATTATCTGAATTGTGATTTAGCATGCTGATCTTAAAGGTGCATTGAAAAATTTGATACTCCAACTGATGCCTCTGTTGTTGTGGAGTAACTTATGCAGCCAGCTATGGCTCTAGGATTTGGTGTTACATGTTATTTATGTAGTTTATTGTAAAAATTAGGTCACAGTCCCTGTGATCACTGTTACGTTGCAATTATGGCATTATTTTTTGGTGATTTGGTTTGGACATGTTTGTTTTGTTGTAGTACGGAGTTAGACTGATGGCCTTAATTTAAGTTTTCTTGTGGTTGTTGTTGTTGTTTGACTTGCATCCCACTGGGATTTTTTGCACACAGCGTTGGTGTACGGTGCTTTTTTCAGGAATATTTTGCTGTTTTTTTTCATGGATTTTCTGTTTGCACAGTCACACAGAGTCACTTTAAGATGTTTTTCTTGTTTGTGTTTTTTTTGTTTGTTGCGGTTGCACCCGATTCAAGAGCCGAATGGCTCACAGGGCTATACCAAAATAAATAAACTGAAACTGGTTACACCAGCCCACAGGGGATTATTGTGTCGGTCCGTCGTGCATCCAATAATGGGAGGGGTGGGGCTGGGTAGAGAGGGGAGGATGGGGAGGGGCTGGGTGGGGAGGGTGGGGAGGGGCTGGGTGGGGAGGGTGGGGCTGGGTGGGGGGTGGGAGGGGTGGGGCTGGGTGGGGAGGGGCTGGTCACCCCGTGGTGCCCTTATAAAACTCAACGTTTAACCTTCTCACGCCGGCTTGTGCCCGCCCTCACAGTCGGGCATATTGTACGGCATACACCACGTGGTGCCGTTGACCCTGGCCATTGACCGAGCAACCCAACGTTCCTACCAGCTCCCTCAGCAGGAATGTGTTCGTTGCGGCCACGTCTGACCGTTGCGTTGTGCGCTCCGCGCTCTGTTGCTGCTGCGCTCGCAGACGCGGCGGGGAAGTCCTCCGCTGTGGACGCCTCGAGCGGCACGGCCTGGAAGTCGAGCCACCTCTACCAGCTCCGTCAGTACCAACGTCTCGCGCTTGCCGCACACCGATCGAGCTCGCAGCGCGCTCTTCCAGAGATGGACGGCGATACCTCGAGAACAACTTTCACCGAACGAAAACACAAAGGGGACCCCAGCGAGGCGAATGTCAAAAGCTTAATTTTACATCATTAGACCTCCTTTGCGAGTACCAAAATATAATAATAGGGTTTTCCCCTTTTTTCTGGCAACAAAACTGAAACCTTTTTACGAGGATTCATGTCTGCATTAACCACAATACCTGCAGTGAAAATGCAAACAAAAAACATACTATGGTAATATATGCATTGTCCTTGAAACTGATTGGTCCACACCAAGGGACGGCTTTCTTTTGACCCTCGACCCAATTGGTGCTCGACCAATTGTCTCGAGGCTCAACGCGACCGCTACGCACGGCCGCGTTGCGTTGGCCACTGCGCTGCCAAACATCCGATGCTCTCGTTCAATTTTGTTGTTGTCATTAAAGTTGTACTCTACGGTACACCTTTACAGCACGCTAATCGGAGGTTATCCTGCACCGCCAATGAGCACGGTTGGCTACGTACGGTGCGAAAGAAGTTCAACGTGCATACACGCAGTGAAAGTATTCACGCACAGGTGCGTGTAAAGTTTTGGGGATTTTGCGTTCGACCGGGACACCTGGAACAAATGTAGACTTAAGCGGCGATGTGTTTTTCAAATCTTCATCATGGTGGCGAACACCCTGATATATCGCCGTGAACTTTAACTTCAACAAGTCGTTCTCATCACGAGGTATCATCGCATTGTAATGTAAAAATAAGTTCAACATGCGTACAGTGAGAAAAAAAGTATTTGATCCCCTGCTGATTTTGTATGTTTGCCCACTGAGAAAGAAATGATCAGTCTATAATTTCAATGGTAGGTTTATTTGAACAGTGAGAGACAGAATAACAACAAAAAAATCCAGAAAAACGCATGTCAAAAATTGTATATATTGATTTGCATTTTAATGAGGGAAATCAGTATTTGACCCCTCTGCAAAACATGACTTAGTACTTGGTGGCAAAACCCTTGTTGGCAATCACAGAGGTCAGACGTTTCTTGTAGTTGGCCACCAGGTTTGCACACATATCAGGAGGGATTTTTTCCCACTCCTCTTTGCAGATCTTCTCCAAGTCATTAAGGTTTCGAGGCTGACGTTTGGCAACTCGAACCTTCAGCTCCCTCCACAGATTTTCTATGGGATTAAGGTCTGGAGACTGGCTAGGCCACTCCAGGACCTTAATGTGCTTCTTCTTGAGCCACTCCGTTGTTGCCTTGGCCGTGTGTTTTGGGTCATTGTCATGCTGGAATACCCATCCACGACCCATTTCCAATGCCCTGGCTGAGGGAAGGAGGTTCTCACCCAAGATTTGACGGTACGTGGCCCTGTCCATCGTCTCTTTGATGCGGTGAAGTTGTCCTGTTCCCTTAGCAGAAAAAACACCCCCAAAGCATAATGGTGTTCTTGGGGTCATAGGCAGCATTCCTCCTCCTCCAAACACGGCGAGTTGAGTTGATGCCAAAGAGCTCCATTTTGGTCTCATCTGACCACAACACTTTCACCCAGTTGTCCTCTGAATCATTCAGATGTTCATTGGCAAACTTCAAACGGGCATGTATATGTGCTTTCTTGAGCAGGGGGACCTTGTGGGCGCTGCAGGATTTCAGTCCTTCTCGGCGTAGTGTGTTACCAATTGTTTTCTTGGTGACTATGGTCCCAGCTGCCTTGAGATCATTGACAAGATCCTCCCGTGTAGTTCTGGGCTGATTCCTCACCGTTCTCATGATCATTGCAACTCCACGAGGTGAGATCTTGCATGGAGCGCCAGGCCGAGGGAGATTGACAGTTCTTTTGTGTTTCTTCCATTTGCGAATAATCGCACCAACTGTTGTCACCTTCTCACCAAGCTGCTTGGCAATGGTCTTGTAGCCCATTCCAGCCTTGTGTAGGTCTACAATCTTGTCCCTGACATCCTTGGAGGGCTCTTTGGTCTTGGCCATGGTGGAGAGTTTAGAATCTGATTGATTTTTTGCTTCTGTGGACAAGTGTCTTTTATATAGGTAACAAGCTGAGATTAGGGGCACTCTCTTTAAGAGTGTGCTCCTAATCTCAGCTCGTTACCTGTATAAAAGACACCTGGGATACAGAAATCTTTCTGATTGAGAGGGAGTCAAATACTTATTTCCCTCATTAAAATGCAAATCAATTTATAACATTTTTGACATGCGTTTTTCTGGATTTTCTTGTTGTTATTTTGTCTCTCACTGTTCAAATAAACCTACCATTAAAATTATAGACTGATAAATTCTTCATCATTGGGCAAACGTACAAAATCAGCAGGGGATCAAATACTTTTTTCCCTCACTGTATAATGAAAGTTGTTTTGGGGTTAGATCCCGTAAATGTGTCATTAAACCCGCCACCACCCGATTAATAATGTTTGTCACGTAAACAAAACGTGCCAATTAATTACTCGTTCAGCACACCGGTGTGTCGGACAGTAAGCCCGCTACTCAATCTACAATTCAGCAGCAGCAGCATCATCAGGCGTGTTGCGGAGAAATCCTCTTCCTGTTTCGTTCTTCACGCCCACGGGGTGACTCCCTCGCTGCCTCCCGCAGAGCGCGGCCGGGCGGCCTCGTGCTCCGAGACGGTGCCGCTGTGCCTGGGGGACGCGCCCTGCAACCGGCGCGTGGTGGTGCTGGCGCGCTCCTGCGCCGCCCCCTGCGAGCCTGAGCGCTGCCTGGCCGCCACGCGGGACTTCTACCGCGACATGCCGTACCGCGTCGCCGAGCGCCTGTTGCTCTGCACCTGCGACGCCGCCTCTTCATCTTCCGCCGCCGCGGCTACGGAGGAGGACGAGGGGGAAGATGCCGAGTGCCAGGACGTGCGTGCCGCTTTCCACCAGCAAGCCTGCAGCTCGGCGTCGCCCGGGCTGCCCGCCGCCCCGCCGGGCTGCCTGGATGTGCTGGCCGCGTGCCAGGCCGACCCTCTGTGCAGGTAGGCGGTCCCCGTGGTAGGAGGTCGCCCTGGTAGGAGGTCCCCGTGGTAGGAGGTCGCCGTGGATCGTTTCGAGTTGCGAGTTTATCTTGATATGTGTGTATGTTGAGCTTCTTTCGCACCGTACGTAGCCGACCGTGCTAATCGTAGGTGCGTGTTACTCACTGGACCAGGATAGTCACATTTGAAAGTGACCCCGTGTCCTATCCCGCTGGCTACAGCTCCTCCAGGCAGACGAAGCTGATTTGAGAAAGTTAATGAGCGAGTGGGTGAATGAGAGGATGGGTGAATGAGTGGGCGAGTGAGAGTGTGGGTGAATGAGTGGGTGGGTAAATAAGTGTGTGAATGAGTGGGCGAGTGAGAATGTGGGTGAATGAGTGGGTGGGTGAATAAATGCGTGAATGAGTGGGCGAGTGAGATTGTGGGTGAATGAGTGGGTGGGTAAATAAGTGTGTGAATGAGTGGGCGAGTGAGAATGTGGGTGAATGAGTGGGTGGGTGAATAAGTGTGTGAATGAGTGGGCGAGTGAGAGTGTGGTCGAATGAGTGGGTGGGTGAATAAGTGTGTGAATGAGTGGGCGAGTGAGAATGTGGGTGAATGAGTGGGTGGGTAAATAAGTGTGTGAATGAGTGGGCGAGTGAGAATGTGGGTGAATGAGTGGGTGGGTGAATAAGTGTGTGAATGAGTGGGCGAGTGAGAGTGTGGGTGAATGAGTGGGTGGGTAAATAAGTGTGTGAATGAGTGGGCGAGTGAGAATGTGGGTGAATGAGTGGGTGGGTGAATAAGTGTGTGAATGAGTGGGCGAGTGAGAGTGTGGTCGAATGAGTGGGTGGGTGAATAAGTGTGTGAATGAGTGGGCGAGTGAGAGTGTGGTCGAATGAGTGGGTGAGAACTCAATTGACTATAGTGACCCATACTCTTTGGTTCTTTCGGTAAAGTCACGTAGGTATAAAATAAAATAAATTAGATCACGACGTTTCGGGCGCAACACAAGCGTCCGTCATCAGGTGGGACAACCACAGCAAGAAACAACTGCTGAAGTGGGTAGAAGGACTCCCGTAATGCGAGGTTATATCTAGATCGACTATAGTGAGTCTCATTTGCGATGGTGAGTGAATGAGCGAGTGAATGACTGAGTGGGTGGGTGAATAAGTGTGTGAGTGGGCGAGTGAGACGGTGGGTGAGAAGGTGGGCGAGTGGGTAAATGATTGAGTGAGATGATGAGTGAGCGAGTTTTTGGACAAGCTAAATATAGCGTTTATTTTGTTTAACAGGATGGGGACTCAAGAGACCGTAATGACTCTCTTCTGCAAGAGTGACCTGGGCTCACCAACACCGACGTCACGTGACACATCGAAAAACCATCGCACGAAATGAAAGTCGACGCGAAACAATTCCCCGCGGCGTTAAGCCCGCTCGCGCAGATCAATGCTTAGTCTTGATCATCGTGCAATGACAATAGGGCGCTACATGCCGCTCAGCCGCCCTCACTCGTCGCGCGAAGGACCGTTACTCCAAACGTGTGACCTCTTGCGACGCCGTTCGCATGAACTGCCCTTGCTGCCGTACACCGGCGTCTCGAGTAATTTGTTTAATCCACGACCTGGCTTCAACTGATAGCTCAATGAAGTGGCTTATCGTGTGTAAATGTAAATCAACCAAATACTCTAAAGGCGTGATGTTGATTGTAAATGTGGAGGGGAAAACCGGAGGACCGGGAGAAAAATCCACGCGACTACAGCGAGAGAGAGAGACCGCAGATTCCAAATATACAGCAGCAGGCGTCACGGTCGGGATTGAACCCACGACCTCCTGCATACCAGGCGAGGCAGTCAACATCTCGCCACCGCGACAAGCTGTGGTATATAACGCCGGGGCGCACGTGTGCGTGTCCCTTGCAGCCAGCGCTATGTGAACTACGTGGGCAAGTGCGCTGGCGCCAGCCCCTACTGCACGCGTGACGAGGTGTGCCGACGGGCGTACGTGGCCACGCGTGGCACCGTGCTGCAGAGGGCCTGCGCCTGCAGAGGAGGGTCGGCCAGCGACCGTGAGGCCTGCCTGCTCTTCTACAACGCGCTGCACAATGCGTCGCACCTCGGCAAGGCCCGCGTGTGTTGTGTTTTTCTGTGCCTGGGTTTGGGGGGCGCTCCACTACCCCCCCTCCCTCCCTCCCTCCCTCCCCGATTTTGAGCCGTTTCCAGGTCAGATGTTGAGTTGGCAGAAAATAGCTGGAGGCAAAAAACACTTCGACCCCAGGTCTTATAAAAAATAAAAATAGCACCGACATTCTAGATGTAAAGCTTTCGTGACTGCTAGGATCCATACTCTTTGGTTCTATTGGGTAAAGTCACGTAGGTGAAAATAAAATAGCAAAAAATCACGACGTTTCGGCCACAACACAAGCAGCCTTCATCAGGTGAAGGGACGAGACTGTCTGGAGGACAGTGCTGTCCTCCACCTGATGAAGGCCGCTTGTGTTGTGGCCGAAACGTCGTGATTTTTTGTTATTTTATTTTCACCTACGTGACTTTACCCAATAGAACCAAAGAGTATAGCACCGACATACCAAGGCCCAGGTCTTATTCGTCTGTATTGCTTTTTTCCCATATTAGAAAGCCACTGGAGCTGTGCACTTTTACATCTCGATTGGAAACGGATTTCTAAACAACTGTGTTAGTTTGTTGTCCTTCCCCCGCACTTCCGATTAGCACAGTTGGCTATGTAGGTTCGCGAAAGAAGTTCAACCTACATGCACACATTGAAAGAAGTTGATCAGCAATGGCGAGGCTGGCGAGTGAGCGAGCGGGCAGCTTCAGGAGTGGCGTCATATCTGAAACACTGGCGGCGAGCAATCGATGAGGGCAGTGACGTTGCTACGAGGTTCACGGTTCGAGGTTTAGACTCGCGTGGAGGTTCACAGAATCACACAGAGCCCCAACAGACTCGCGCAGAGACACCATAGATGAATGATGGGAGTGGGCAGCGGCATTACTTTGCGGTCCGTGATCTGCGATTGGTGAGCGTAGTCGCACCTCCCACATCGGTGTAGTATGAGGAGGTGGCCGCATAAGCCGTGCGATGTTCTGATGCGGCTCAGCACAGACCGTTGATTTTCGGGGTGGATTGAAACCGGGAGGTTCTTCGGCGGGATCGGACGATGCAGTGTCCGCTAGGGACATCGGCGTTGTCCCTGCTGAGCCTCAGGGTCGAGTGAACGGCGCCTTGGGAGTTTTACGATGGGTTGCTCGTGCGATCGACAAAGCACGGGGGAGGGACTGGCGCAATATACCACGTGGGTAAACGTGGGCCAAATGCGACGGGTAAACGTGGGCCAAATGCAACGGGTAAACGTGGGCCAAATGCGACGGGGCAATGTTGTCGCTTTGCCACTGTGAACGAGTGGGGGCGGGGGGGGGGGGTTTGCAGAATTAGCGGCCGACGCCCCCCCGCTCGTGTGAACCTTGCAACAATGGGCTAATTGCACATTCGTTTTGGTCTCCGCAGTTGCTTGCGACAAGTTTCGCCTCGACGGCCTGGAACCGGTGGGGAACGCGGTCTCCGCAGGCTCCCTGGACAAGCTGACAACACCATCGTCCACTCTGGGTGAGTTGCTGCTCGCCCCGTCGGCGCTTTCACCACGTTTGCATTTCTACAATTCCTGCGGGGCGGTGGTGGGGGGGATCGCAATGCCCCTGGGCCACGTGGCCCAACGTGAAAGAGCCGCGCACGTGCCACCCCTTCATCCTGCAGGGCCCTTGCTCTGGGCGCTGGCTTACTGTGGGGGGCTTCTGCTGGGCTCGGCGGTCGCCTGCCTCCTGCTGCTCAGGTGGCGGTAAGCGCTCGCATCACCCCCTCGCCCCCCCCCCGCCACCACTTCTAGTCGGAGCGCGGCCATACCCTTTATGCAGAACGTGTCGCGGGTCAACGAGCAACTTTGCCTCTCGCCCCCGGTCGCACCTCCGACTAATAAGTGCCGTTGGCTCCGTACGGCGCGAAAGAGTTCAACGTACGCACCATTTTTTGTTAGCGAAGATGACGGTTGTACGTTGAACCTCTTTCGCACCGTACGTCGCCAACCGTGCTCGTCGGGGGTGCGGGGAGAAGGACAACAAACGAAACGCAATAAAAAAATCAATGAAAAATTTCGATTTAAAGCTTTCGTGACGGCAAGGATTCATCTTCTTTGGTTCTTTCGGTAAAATCACGTAGAATGAGAATAAAATAATAAATTGATAAAATAAAATAACACAATAATTTTCTCACGACGTTTCGGCCACAACACAAGCGGCCTTCATCAGGTGAAGGGTAGGACACTCCAGCGCTGTCCTACCAGACAGTCTCGTCCCTTCACCTGATGAAGGCCGCTTGTGTTGTGGCCGAAACGTCGTGAGAATATTATTGTGTTATTTTATTTGATCAATTTATTATTTTATTCTCATTCTACGTGACTTTACCGAAAGAACCAAAGAAGATCAATGAAAAATGTTTTCAATGATGCGGCCCAGCAGCCTCGTGGTGGCTACGCACGGCACGCCTCGACTTAATCGCCTGCGATCCAGCCCTGTGGAGGCAGCAGCAGCAGCGAGGGTTGGTGGATCATGGCACAGATGCCTGTCAAACTCCCTTCCCGAGGGTGGGCGTCGAGGAGGTGCCGTACCCCTGGCTCATCCCCATCTGGAGGGGATAGAGCGTTGCTCCCTCGCTCAAGGTGTGGGGTTTCTCCAGGGTGCTCCGGTTGTATCCTCCCCACGTGATGAATAAACGCGACTCGTCGTTAAGTCGCTGCAGACATCTTACAAGTAAATAACTCAGTGGGAGCAGCAGCAGCGGCGGCAGGACCCCTCCTCAAAAAGAGTCCTACGACTCCTGGATAAAGTAAATAATTCCCTAATCGTCTTGCAAGGTTAAAGTTGTTTCGTGGCTCTATCGAGAGACCTGCTCCTGCAGGCCACGCCAAGATGAGCACAACCGCGTACCACGGTGTCGACACACACAAGTGGTGCGGCGCACGGTGCCCGAGGGCATCACCACGCATGGCCCCTGATCAGCGCGCTCGTTACGTCCCACGGAGCGGCCGCCACTGTTGCTGCTGCATTGATGGGGGGGGGAGGGGGAGGGGGCGCAGGCTCCCCCCCTGGGGAAGTGGTGGCTAGGAGTTGTTAACTACCTCGCCTGGTATACAGGAGGCCGTGGGTTCGATCCCGAAACCTGACGCCTGCTGCTGTATATTTGGAGTTTGCGGTGTCTCTCTCTCTCTCTCCACGTGGTCGCGTGGATTTTCCTTCGGCTCCCCTGTCTTTTTTCCCCTCCACGTTAAGAATCAACATCACGCCTTCAAAAGAGTATTTGGCTGCAATGAATTTCCACGCGATGATGATGTCACTTCGTCGTGGGGCTATCATTTGTGATGGCCAGGTCGCTTCTGAGAAGGAGCAACTTAGACAGCTCAGTGGGCCTTCTCACCTGGTGAAATAAAACATAATCTTGATTTGACGCTTTCGTGTCTGCAGGAATCCATACTCTGTGTGGTTCTTTCGGTAAAGTCACGTAGGTCTAAAATAAAATAAATCACGACGTTTCGGGCGCAACACAAGCGTCCGTCATCAGGTGTGAAAGCTTTCCCACCTGATGATGGAACGTCGTGATTTATTTGATTTTATACCTACGTGACTTTACCGAAAAATATAGTTTAGAGGGGTTTTAGCTGTCGTCGTCGTCGTTGTTGTAAGTGGTGGCAGCAGGAGGATGAAGAGGAGGAGCAGCACAACAACAAAGGTGGAGGTTGAGGATGGCTGACACGGGCCATCCCCGACCCTGGCCGTTGACGAGCGGGCCAATGTCGCGCGCGGAACCGCGCCCTGTGGCCAATGGCCCCGCGTGTTTGCCCCGCGATGCGCCACCCGCCGCCACTTTGTTACCATGGTGAATCCTCCATCCTTAACCCCCCACCACCACCACCTAGCCAGCCACCACCTGCCCATTAAGTCACCGAATTGTTTGCGTTTTAAGCGGTCGTTAATGTGGCCCCGGATAGCTGCTTGTTCAGCGCGGCTGGCAGGCCAGCGACCCGTGATCGCGAGTGATTGAGAGAAAGCGCAGTTGCTCAGCCGTGGGACCTCGTTCTGTTTCTATGTACAGTACAACAGCCCCCCCCCCGCCTCCCCCTGGAGTGGTCGGAGACCTTCAGTGCTCGCCACAGTGGCAACGTGTGTTCTCGTTCGGGTTTAAGGTCCGTAACCTACCCCCGAGTTTACGGACGCCAGCTGCCAAAGAACAAACCCCGTCGTTGCACGATCTCCCCAGCCCCTGATGCGTCAGTCGCAATTTGCCCGTTCTCTGTGCCTTGCTGCGAGCATCTCAATAAAGGCTGTGGCCTTAAAGAGGTGCAGGATGTATGCACGCGTGTTGAACTTCTTTTGCGCCGTACGCAGCCAGCCGCGCTAATCGGAGTTGTGGCGGGGTGGGGGTAGGGCAGGACAACAAACTAAACCCAAAAAGCAGTTCTAAAGGGAAGAGTTTTCGATTTAAAGCTTTCGTGACTGCAGGGATTCATCTTCTTGGTTCTTTCGGTAAAGTCACCACGTAGAATGGAAATAAAATAATAAAAATAAAACATAATAAAATAAAACATAATAAAATATTACTATGTTATTATGTTAATAAAATATGTTTTATTTTTATTATTTTGTTTCCATTCTACGTGGTGACTTTACCGAAAGAACCAAGAAGAAGAAGAGTTTTCATTGTAGATTTGAAAGTGCACCACTCCAGTGGCTTCCTAGTCATAGCCAGAGGGCCCATCTTCACTCTTACCGCTCTGCCTCTGTCATGTGCTGTGAAGAAGGTCCATCGCCCCAAACGTCACCTGCTGCAATTACATATGTCAGGCCACATGCACACACACGGTGGTCTTCTTTGGTTCTTTCGGTAAAGTCACGTAGAATGAGAATAAAATAATAAAATAACACAATAAAATCCTCACGACGTTTCGGCCACAACGCAAGCGGCCGTCTTCAGTTCTGTACCTTTCACCTGAAGACGGCCGCTTGCGTTGTGGCCAAAACGTCGTGAGAATTTTATTGTGTTATTTTATTATTTTATTCTCATTCTACGTGACTTTACCGAAAGAACCAAAGAAGATGAATCCTTGCAGTCACGAAAGCTTTAAATCGAAACACACGGTGGTGTTATCGGTTCTATGTTTTGATTTATAAAAATCGCCTTTCGCCAAGGCGTTTGGCAATGCTTGCCGACGAGGGTACAAAATGGATAAGAGAATGATGGGGTGGGTTAAGTGCGGCCTTCAGTAATCGGGTTTGGGAAAAGGAATTAGATGTGGGCAGCAAGGGAAGGAGGCGATGGTGGCAGGGGGTTGAAGGAGGCACGGGTAGAGCGCGATAGTGGATGAGGCTGATAGAAGGGGGTTGCGTAAGAGGTGGATGGTACGGCATGAAGTGAGCACATGGAATGATCGGGTCAATGGGTTGCTGAGCTTAGATGAGAGTAGATTGAGGGAATTGAGGGTAGTTTGAGATGGAAGCGTTCAGTTGTTTCGCTTGTGCCGATCTTTGTTTTGCTTTCCAGGAGCAGCGTGAAGCTCAAAAGGCGCTCCCCAACCTCAGAGAAGAGACCCAAGGCCACGTCTGTCGACGCTTTAGGCAAATGACAGTCACGATTTATGCGTCGTAATTATTGTTCGTGCAATCCCTGTAGTGCCGTGGGTGTGGTCGTGAAATTATTCCTAAATAATAAAATACTCCGTCTTGTCCTCGTCGGGTATGTGACGTTATTTTTTTGTCGCATAGCGCGGTCGCGACTAAACTTAATGACATTTTCATTTGATGCAGCGTCGTTCATGCCGACAGCATCCCACAACGCTGTACATGGATTCCACATAAAGACCGAATCGCATATACGCGGTTGGTTACGTACAGCCCGAAAGAAGCCCAACACACACACACACCGAGAAAATGGAAACCACCCTACGACTACCAAGCAGAATCAACACATTAATAAACGAATTAAGAAATGGCACCAAAACACAAAGTGCAAACAACAAGAGAGTTATTACAACCAACAACTTACACGGGTTCACCTCGCTCAACCCGGTCGTAGTAGATGCTTGCCAAAATAAGAGAGCACCAAGGGAAGCCTTAGGGAGACAGCTGCCTGCCGAGTAGTGCACGCAGCGTTGCCCCACGTCCGATCGCATAGCCGCCAACGAGTAAATTCAAACCGCATTCGATATTAGGAAGCCAACGGAGCAGTGCCCTTTTGTATCTAGATTGAAAACTAATTTCTTTAAAAATTATTTTTGTGTGTTAGTTTGTTTTGATTTAAAGCTTTCGTGACTGCAGGGATTCATATTCTTGGTACTTTCGGTAAAGTCACGTAATAAAAATATAAAATAGTTTTAAATTTGTATTATTTTGTTGTTATATGTTTTTATTATTTTATTGTTTCCCTTCTACGTGACTTTACCGAAAGAACCGAGAATATGTTAGTTTGTTGTCCATCCCCCCGCACCTCCAGATGAGCACAGCTGGCTACGTATGGTGCGAAAGAAGTTCAACGTGCATATGAGTATCAGTCTCTATGGGTCTCTGTGGGTTTCTGTGGTTCTCTATGGGTCTCTGTGGGTTTCTGTGGTTCTCTATGGGTCTCTGTGGGTTTCTGTGGTTCTCTATGGGTCTCTGTGGGTTTCTGTGATTCTCTATGGGTCTCTGAGGGTTTCTGTGGTTCTTTATGGGTCTCTGTGGGTTTCTGTGGTTCTTTATGGGTCTCTGTGGGTCTCTGTGGTTATCTATGGGTCACTGTGAGTTTCTGTGGTTCTTTATGGGTCTCTGTGGGTTTCTGTGGTTATTTATGGGTCTCTATGGGTTTCTGTGGTTATCTATGGGTCTCTGTGGGTTTATGTGGTTCTTTATGGGTCTCTATGGGTCTCTGTGAGTTTCTGTGGTTCTCTATGGGTCTTTGTGGGTTTCTGTGGTTCTTTATGGGTCTCTGTAGGTTTCTGTGGTTCTTTATGGGTCTTTGTGGGTTTCTGTGGTTCTCTATGGGTCTCTGTGGGTTTCTGTGATTCTCTATGGGTCTCTGTGGGTTTCTGTGGTTCTATATGGGTCTCTGTGGGTTTATATGGTTCGTTATGGGTCTCTGTGGGTTTCTGTGGTTCTTTATGGGTCTCTGTGGGTTTCCGTGGTTCTTTATGGGTCTCTATGGGTTTCTGTGGTTCTGTATGGGTCTCTGTGGGTTTATATGGTTCGTTATGGGTCTCTGTGGGTTTCTGTGGTTCTTTATGGGTCTCTGTGGGTTTCTGTGGTTCTTTATGGGTCTCTATGGGTTTCTGTGGTTCTCTATGGGCAACTGAGGGTTTCTGTGGTTCTTTATGGGTCTCTGTGGATTTCTGTGGTTATTTATGGTTCTCTATGGGTCTTTGTGAGTTTCTGTGGTTATTTATGGGTCTATGGGTTTCTGTGGGTATCTATGGGTCTCTGTGGGTTTATGTGGTTCTTTATGGGTCTCTGTGGGTCTCTGTGGGTTTCTGTAGTTCTCTATGGGTCTCTGTGGGTTTATGTGGTTCTTTATGGGTCTCTATGGGTCTCTGTGAGTTTCTGTGGTTCTCTATGGGTCTTTGTGGGTTTCTGTGGTTCTTTATGGGTCTCTGTGGGTTTCTGTGGTTCTCTATGGGTCTCTGTGGGTTTCTGTGGTTCTCTATGGGTTTCTGTGGGTTTATGTGGTTCTTTATGGGTCTCTGTGGGTTTCTGTGGTTCTCTATGGGTCTCGGTGGGTTTCTGTGGTTCTCTGTGGGTCTCTGTGGGTTTCTGTGGTTCTCTATGAGTGTCTGTGGGTTTATGTGGTTCTTTATGGGTCTCTGTAGGTTTCTTTGGTTCTTTATGGGTCTCTGTGGGTTTCTGTGGTTCTTTATGGATCTCTGTGGGTTTCTGTGTTTTTATGGGTCTCTGTGGGTTTCTGTCGTTCTCTATGGGTCTTTGTAGGTTTATGTGGTTCTCTATGGGTCTCTGTGGGTTTCTGTGGTTCTCTATGGGTCTCTGTAGGTTTATTTGGTTCTTTATGGGTCTCTGTGAGTTTCTGTGGTTCTTTATGGGTCTCTGTGGGTTTCTGTGGTTCTTTATGGGTCTATGTGAGCTTCTGTGGTTCTCTATGGGTCTCTGTGGGTTACTGTGGTTCTTTTTTGGGTCTCTGTGTGTTCCTGTGGTTCTTTATGGGTTTCTGTGGGTTTCTGTGGTTCTCTATGGGTCTCTGTGGGTTTCTGTGGTTCTCTGTGGGTTTCTGTGGTTCTCTATGGGTCTCTGTGGGTTACTGTGGTTCTTTATGGGTTTCTGTGGGTTCCTGTGGTTCTTTATGGGTCTATGTGGGTTTCTGTGGTTCTCTATGGGTCTCTGTCGGTTTCTGTGGTTCTCTATGGGTCTCTGTGGGTTTCTGTAGTTCTCTATAGGTCTCTGTGGGTTTCTGTGGTTATCTACGGGTCTCTGTGGGTCTCTGTGGTTCTTTATGGGTCTCTGTGGGTTTATGTGGTTCTTTATGGGTCTCTGTGGGTTTCTGTGGTTCTCTATGGGTCTCTGTGGGTTTCTGTAGTTCTCTATGGGTCTCTGTGGGTTTCTGTGGTTCTCTATGAGTCTGTGTGGGTTACTGTGGTTCTTTATTGGTCTCTGTGGGTTCCTGTGGTTCTTTATGGGTCACTGTGGGTTTCTGTGGTTCTCTATGGGTCTCTGTGGGTTTCTGTGGTTCTCTATGGGTCTCTGTGGGTTTCTGTGGTTCTCTATGGGTCTATGTGGGTTACTGTGGTTCTTTATGGGTCTCTGTGGGTTCCTGTGGTTCTTTATGGGTCTCTGTGAGTTTCTGTGGTTCTCTATGGGTTATGTGGGTTTCTGTGGTTCTTTATGGGTCTCTGTGGGTTTCTGTCGTTCTCTATAGGTCTATGTGGGTTTCTGTGGTTATCTATGGGTCTCTGTGGGTTTTTGTGGTTCTTTATGGGTCTGTGTGGGGTTCTGTGGGTCTCTATGGGTCTCTGTGGATTTCTTTGGTTCTCTATGGGTCTCTGTGGGTTCCTGTGGTTCTTTATGGGTCTCTGTAGGTTTCTTTGGTTCTTTACGGGTCTCTGTGGGTTTCTGTGGTTCTTTATGGGTTTCTGTGGGTTTCTGTGGTTCTCTGTGGGTCTCTGTGGGTTTCTGTGGTTCTCTATGGGTCTCTTTGGGTTTCTGTGGTTCTCTGTGAGTCTGTGTGGGTTTCTGTGGTTCTTTATGGGTCTCTGTGGGTTTCTGTGGTTCTCTGTGGGTGTGTGTGGGTTTCTATCGTTCTCTATGGGTCTCTGTGGGTTTATGCGGTTTTCTATGGGTCTCTGTGGGTTTATGTGGTTCTTTATGGGTCTCTGTGGGTTTCTGTGGTTCTCTATGGGTCTCTGTGGGTTTCTATCGTTCTCTATGGGTCTCTGTGGGTTTCTGTGGTTCTTTACTGGTCTTTGTGGGTTTCTGTTGGTCTCTATGGATCTCTGTGGGTTTCTGTGGTTCTTTATGGGTCTCTGTGGGTTTCTGTGGTTCTCTATGGGTTTCTGTGGGTTTCTGTGGTTCTCTATGGGTCTCTGTGGGTTTCTGTGATTCTCTATGGGTCTCTGTGGGTTGCTGTGGTTCTCTAGGGGTCTCTGTGGGTTTCTGTGGTTCTCTATGGGTTTCTGTGAGTTTCTATGGTTCTTTATGGGTCTCTTTGGGTTTCTGTGGTTGTTTATGGGTCTCTGTGGGTTTCTGTGGTTCTTTATGGGTCTCTATGGGTTCCTGTGGTTCTCTATGGGTCTCTGTGGGTTTCTGTGGTTCTTTATGGGTCTCTGTGGGTTTCTGTGGTTTTCTATGGGTCTCTGTGGGTTTCTGTGGTTCTATATGGGTCTCTGTGGGTTTATATGGTTCGTTATGGGTCTCTGTGGGTTTCTGTGGTTCTTTATGGGTCTCTATGGGTTTCTGTGGTTCTCTATGGGTCTCTGTGGGTTTCTGTGGTTCTGTATGGGTCGCTGAGGGTTTCTGTGGTTCTTTATGGGTCTCTGTGGATTTCTGTAGTTATATATGGTTCTCTATGGGTCTTTGTGAGTTTCTGTGGTTATTTATGGGTCTCTATGGGTATCTGTGGTTATCTATGGGTCTCTGTGGGTTTATGTGGGTCTCTGTGGGTCTCTGTGGGTTTCTATAGTTCTCTATGGGTCTCTGTGGGTTTATGTGGTTCTTTATGGGGCTCTATGGGTCTCTGTGAGTTTCTGTGGTTCTCTATGGGTCTTTGTGGGTTTCTGTGGTTCTTTATTGGTCTCTGTGGGTTTCTGTGGTTCTCTATGGGTCTCAGTGGGTTTCTGTGGTTATCTATGGGTCTCTGTGGGTTTCTGTGGTTCTTTATGGGTCTGTGTGGGGTTCTGTGGGTCTCGATGGGTCTCTGTGGGTTTCTGTGGTTATCTATGGGTCTCTGTGGGTTTCTGTGGTTATCTATGGGTGTCTGTGGGTTTCTGTGGTTCTTTATGGGTCTCTGTAGATTTCTTTGGCTCTTTACGGGTCTCTGTGGGTTTCTGTGGTTCTTTATGGGTTTCTGTGAGTTGTGGTTCTCTGTGGGTGTCTGTGGGTTTCTGTGGATCTCTATGGGTCTCTTTGGGTTTCTGTGCTTCTCTGTGAGTCTGTGTGGGTTTTTGTGGTTCTTTATGGGTCTCTGTGGGTTTCTGTGGTTCTCTGTGGGTGTGTGTGGGTTTTTGTGGTTCTCTATGGGTGTCTGTGTGTTTCT